TTCCCTTCCCTTCCCTTCCCTTCCCTTCCCTCCTTCCCTCCTTCCTTCCTTGTGAAGTTCTACCATTGTTTCATTTGAAGTCCATGAAATTTATTTATTTATTCCTGGACTTGAGTGGATATCACAAATTCATTTAAGCATTTTAGTCACATGATGAAAATTGGGATACTTGGCAGAACCAGGGACATTGGGTTGCCACGGCGACCTTCCCAGGGAGCTTGCAAAAAGTCAGATTCCCTTAACAAGGCCCAAAGCCATGAAATGCAAAGGCAACCCCCCTCGTGTGACTCACTTCGGCTGAATCGCTGAGTGACGAAAGATCCAGGGTCAACTGCGATTGTTGGCGAACGCACCCTAAACTCAGATTGAAACTGATCCACCAAAACCAGGGGTAGGCCACCTTGGCTCTTTTATGACTCGTGGACTTCAACTCCCAGAATTCCTCAGCCAGCATGGCTCAGCTTGGAAACCTCTCCCTTTCCCCTCAGCATGGCTGGCTCAGGAATTCTGGGAGTTGAAGTCCACGAGTCATGAAGGGGGCCATAGTTCCCCCATGCTGGCTCAGGAATTCTGGGAGTTGAAGTCCGCGAGTCATGAAGGGGGCCATAGTTCCCCCATGCTGACTCAGGAATTCTGGGAGTTGAAGTCCACGAGTCATAAAAGAGCCAAGGTTACCTACCTCTGGCCTAGGCCTCGGCCGCTTTATGACTCGTGGACTTCAACTCCCAGAATTCCTGAGCCAGCATGGCTCAGCATGGAAACCTCTCCCTTTCCCCTCAGCATGGCTGCCTCGGGAATTCTGGGAGTTGAAGTCCACCAGTCATAAAAGAGCCAAGGTTGCCTACCCCTGACTAAAACAGCGATAACCAGGGCAAAAACTCACCTGACAAAAGCTGGCTCCACCAGGGTTTCAGGAGGTTTTTCAGCTCGAGGGGTTTTGCAAACGGGGCAGGCCGATTCCGGATCCGTTGGCACCGTAAAAAGGCGTTTATTCAACCGATAGCAGAAGACACCTGCAGGGCATACCAGAAAATTTACGACAGGGCCCTTTACATAGCTGTAGGTTTTAACTGGTGCCAGGTTTCTAGCCCTCATGGCTGCAAGGTGAAGCTAAGTAACGAGTGGCTTGAAACCTCAATGGGATTTTGGGGACCTTCCCCATGCTTCTAGATTGGGGGTGGGGGTGTCTCCAAACTTGGCCACTTTTAAAACTTGTGGACTTCATCCTCCAGAATTCCATGCTGGCTGAGAAATTCTGGGAGTTGAAGTCCACAAGTCTTAAAGCGGCCAGGTTTGGAGATCCCCTGGTCTAGATCCTGCTAGGGCTGCTATTCCCAGGCACACAATTCCTGCTGAATTTCCACCCCCAAAATGCACTGGCTACAGAAACATCGGAACATACATTGGTGGGAGGCTGCGTCTATTTCCATCTCCCGATCCAGGGCCGAAGAATTCACGTCCTTCAGCCTGTATAGAAGGAAAAACCCAGAATTACAGCCTGAGAAAGGAATTGTGCACCGGCACCCAACTAACCAAGGCAGGGGAACGTTGGGTATTACAGTGGGTTGGGCTGGATGACCTCTAAATATCTCCTCCCACTCTTTGGTTTGGAGGCTAACCCCCTGCCGGACCCTGATGGAGGAAAGAAGCAACCTGGAATTAAGGAGAAACTTCCTAATAGGGAGGACAATTAACCAGCGGAACAGCTTGCCACCAGAAGTTGTGGGTGCTCCATCCCTGGAGGTTTTTAAGGAGAGACTGGACAGCCACTTGTTTGGCATGGTATAGGGTTTCCTGCTTGAGCAGGGGGCTCGACTAGAAGACCTCCAAGGTCCCTTCCAGCTCTATTCTGATCCTGATTCTGAAACAGCAAAGGCAGCTTTAAAATAACAACCCAGAGCTTACCCCTTGCAAAGCTTAATTACTCGTGCGAATGGGCAGCTGATGAGGGTTAAACCTGTTCTGTGAATTTGTGCTTTAAAAATGGCACTTGGGGGTTTGAGCAGATCTAAAGGCCTGCTCCCACGTCTACCCCTTTTTTCAACCCCCCCTCTCCCCCTCCTCCCCCCCCAGCCGGATCATACTCGAAGTCGTGGTCGCGGATGCAAGCCTCCTTGTTCACCTGGCGGAAGTTTTGCAGCTCAGCAAAATATTCCTCGGGTTTTTCAGACAGGGACGTATCCGTCTCCAGCAGCCCTAGAGAAGGAGGGTCCCAGAGAGCAGGTGAAACACCCAAGAGCGAAAACGGCAGGACCAGAAGCTCATTGTCAAGCCCTCGGAATACACAGGTAAACGATTCCTGGGCAGGGAGGATCTTGGCAAATAAGAGCAGAATCTGCCAGATGTGATTAGAAAGTTGGTTCTGTCTGGCTAGGAGGATGGGAGAGGGGCAAAGGACCCAGCATGATGGGGAGGGCACTACAGTAAAACACTAGTACCGCTTTACAAAGCCCTAGTGAGACCACACCTGGAATACTGCAGCCAATTTTGGTCACCCTAACACAAAAAAGATGTTGAGAGTTTAGAAAAAATTCAGAGAAGAGCAACTAAGATGATCCAAGTCCTGGAGATTAAAACATACGAAGAACGGCTGCAGGACTTGGGGTTGGCTAGTCTAAAGAAAAGAAGAAATAGGGGAGACATGATAGCAGTGTTCCAGTATCTGAGGGGCTGTCACAAGGAAGAGGGGGTCAGGTTGTTCACCACAGCACCAGAGGGAAGGACAAGAAACAATGGTTGGAAATTGATCAAGGAGAGAAAAAAACTGGATTTAAGGAGAAACTTCCTGACAGTGAGGACAATCAACCAGTGGAACAGCCTGCCCCCAGAAATCGTGGGCGCTCCATCACTGGAGGTTTTTAAAAAGAGGCTAGACAGTCACTTGTCTGAGATGGTATAGGTTCTCCTGCTTAAGTGGAGGGCTGGACTAGAAGACCTCCAAGGTCCCTTCCAGCTCTATTCTATTCTATTCTATTCTATTCTATTCTATTCTATTCTATTCTATTCTCTATTCTTCATTATTCCTATTACTCTACTCTACTCTACTCTACTCTACTCTACTCTACTCCACTCCACTCCACTCCACTCCACTCCACTCCACTCCACTCTCCACTCCACTCCACTCCACCCCACCTCACCCCACCCCACCCCATCCTATCCTATCTCTGGAAGAGAGCTCCAGCTGCCTGTCTTGAACAAGGAAGAAAAACGCAGCAGTTTTTACTTTTAAAAAGAGAGCTACACCAATACAAGGGGTTCAATGGATTTGCTAACGCTCTCTACCCCAGTGTGCAGAGACACTGCACCTGAGCATGGAGGCTCTGTTTAGACGTTTCGGGAAGCAGCCCACAGCCTCTTCCTACCTGCGATCCAGTCGTAGCCCAGGAAAGGCTGCGCTGACATGCTGTCCTCTGGGATCAAATACTCCTCCGTGTCGGAGACAAACGTCACATGCCCAGCTTCCTTCTGGAAAAGAGAAAGGGTGACTCATTGACTCCCGGCTGCCAGCAGTTTGGCAGTTCGAGTCTCACCGGTTCAAGGTTGACTCGGCCTTCCATCCTTCCGAGGTCGGTAAAATGGGGACCCAGATTGTTGGGGGCCATAGGCTGACCCTGTAAACCACTTAGAGAGGGCTGTAAAGCACTGTGAAGCGATATATAAGTCTAAGTGCTATTGTTATATAAGAGCTGTGGTGGTGCAGTGATTAGGATGCAAGATTGCAGGCTGACTCTGCCCACAGCCAGCACTTCGATCCTGACTGGTTGAAGGTTGACTCAGCTTTCCCTCCTTCCAAGGTTGGCAGAATGAGGACCCAGATTGTTGGGGGCAAATATGCTGACCCTGTAAACTGCTTAGAGAGGGCTGTATAGCACTGTGAAGCGGTATATAAGTCTAAGGGCCATTGCTATTGCTACTCTCCCTGTCTTAGATCAGTATCACCCCCCTGCCAGCTTTCCAGCTGTTTTGCAGGTACCAGAGATCAAGTCTGCTCGCCAATCAGATGCAGTTTCTTTTGCCCCTGCCAAGCTTTCCAGCACTCACCTTCTTCCTTGCCCTGCCATGCTTGCTCCCCGGTGTAAGCAAAATGGACTTGGGGGTCTGCGGCATCCGAGCCGAGGTCCCCTGCCTCCTCTCCCCTTCTGCTGGGCTTTGGGTCAGCTCCTCTCGGGGGCCCGTTCCCTCCTTCGCCTCGGGGCAGGCAGCAGGAGGTGACTTTGGGGGGGCCTCTTCCTTGGCTGTTTCACCGTTTGCATTGGCAGCCTCGCCAAACGGCACGATGGCCGTGCAGGGGGAACAGGGCAGCCCCCAGCTAGGGGAGCACCCCTCTTTCCGTCTCTCGCTCTGCCTCCTGGTGCCTTGAGAGTCCAGGCCCAGTTGGGAATTCCCTTCCTCCGAAACTCTCAGGGTGTCCCCCTCCACGTCTGGACGAAACTCCGGCTGGATCTGGAAGGGAAGACAGCGATAAAAACAGTTGTGTTGCCGTGAAGGTCACACAGCACAATTAGCAAGACGTGGCAGGCTGCTGCACCAGGGTGCATACAACCTGGAAACTCAGTCAAGGATGATAAGGGGGGAAAATACTGCAGGAATCCCTGTTAGATAAGATAACCTTTATTCTCATTTTTTTTTACCGTGGGCACCCTGCCACATATTAAAAAATGAAAACCTGTTGTCTGCTCTCAAAAGTGTACACCAGGGGTCTTCAAACTCGGCCCTTTTATGACCGATGGACTTCAACTCCCAGAATTCCTCAGCCAGGCACGCGTGCCTGGCTGAGGAATTCTGGGAGTTGAAGTCCATCGGTCATAAAAGGGCCGAGTTTGAAGACCCCTGGTGTACACATACACAACACCCATATAAACTGTTTAGGGCTACATTTTTTAACGTCTGAAATTGCACAAGTGCCCTCTTATCTGACTTTTTAAAAAAAATCTCCTGTTTCTCTCTTTTTTGTTTAACAACATCCAGCCTGCAGAAAAGTCTCATAACACTTTGCAGCACAAGGCAGGTCTGATCGTTGTGATAGATGGCCCATTTGGGGGAAGCAAAAATAGGTCCTCCAATCTGTAGAATTCTCATTTGGCTGCACAAGCAAATTCTCTGTCTCGTTCAGGATCCGGATCAAAGCATCTCCAGATGTAAACATGGTGCCAAGAAGATTATGTCAAAAAACAAACAAACAAGAAAACCAGGAAAAAAAGTAGGAGTTGCATGCTTCAGGATGGCAAAATGATCCACTGCTATTATTAAAAGACACTTAACTATACTTGCTATATAGAACTTCCATATTCAGAAGCAGTCTATGTAATTTGATGGTGTTCTTTTTTTTAAAAAAGCCCTGTTTTATTCATTTTTAAAACGCTAGATATGGTGAGAACAGGCCAATACGAAGTTTGTTTATTTTTGTTTATTATGAAATTTATTCGCCACCCATCTCATGTCCAATGAACTCCGGGCGGCTGGCAGCATAAAAACATTAAAAAAACATTAAAACCATCAATCATAAGATAACAAAGAAGATAAAATAAAAGGACGAGGGGGGACATGATAGCAGTGTTCCAGTATCTCGGGGGGGTGCCCCAAAGAAGAGGGAGTCAAGCTATTCTCCAAAGCACCTGAACGCAGGACAAGAAGCAACGGATGGAAACTCATCAAGGAGAGAAGCAACCTAGAACTAAGGAGAAACTTCCTGACCGTTAGAACAATTAACCAGTGGAACAACCTGCCTCCAGAAGTTGTAGGTGCTTCATCACTGAAGGTTTTTAAGAAGAGATTGGACAACCATTTGTATGAAATAGTATAGGGTTTCCTGCCTGAGCAGGGGGTTGGATTAGATGACCTTCAAGGTCCCTTCCAACATTATTATTATTATTATTATGGATCATCGCACAGTCAGCCGGATGTTCAGACTGGAGTTGGCATTTTGTCTACCTATCGAGTCCTTCCCAAGGACCTGGGATAGGCAGAGGTGGATGTTTGATGGTATTACAGATCTCGTCGCAGGATGGAAGCAGTTCCTAGTAAGGCCAGGATTAGGCTTAATTAGTCAACCAGCTCCAGCGTGAAGCTCCCCTACTGGGTCCCCAAGCCATCTGGCAGAGGCAGAATTGGATTTTAAACTACCGTGGAGAGTTCCAGAGGGACCCCCGACAGTTGCTTAAAAATAACCTTATGTACATTTGGATCAAAACTGGACGCCCCCAAGAATTTTAGATGTAGATGGGTCAACCTTGAACAACTATCCAACCTACCCCGTTCCTGGAACCGAGCACCCGCTTGCACTCGGGGTCCCCCGGCGTGGAGGCCAGCACGAAGGGAAGGCGCTTCCTGAATTCTTCTTGATTGGCTTTCAACCTTCGCAGGAGATCCTGGTTCAAGTGGCGGAGCTGCTGAAGGTCCATCTCGGGGACCACGGACGGCTGCGCGGCTGGAGCTGAGCTGGCGACGCGTTGAGAGCTGGGGAGTCAATATCTGAGTATCATCACCCCCAGGGGATGCTTTCGGCCTGGGAAGCCCGCCTGGTGGCTCTAGAGGGGTGTTGAGGAGGAACTCTGCATGTGCCCAGAGGTAGCCTTTCTCATCCTCCCACAGGCCAGACTAAGGTCAGGCACGGTCTGGGTCTCAGGTCTTAGGGACTCCCAAGTCCCATGCAAGAATTTGGGGGAGGAGGGAGGGGGTTAAAGTCCTGATTGATTTGATTTGATCTCTTAACAGGTTTTTATTCTGCCAGTGACTCAAGATCAGCCTCCATCCCCAAGAGGGCTCAAGGGGCGTCCCCCACTAAATCCCCCCCCCAAAAAATTCAGCCTCCGGACCCCCCCTGGGCCCCCCAGCACCCCATAGAGGGGAAAACGCCCCCTCCCCTTGTTTCAATTTTCAATGCACTACAATTCCCATCGGCCCCAGCCTGGGGAAAGCTGCCCTGGCTCCCCAGCCCCCTCCTTTTGACTGCCCCCCCCCAACAAAAGAGCGCTGTTTTACGCACTTCATTCACTCCCGCGTCCGTTGCTTACTATGTAGCAAAGCCAAGCTTCCGAACGCCTCCTGATTGGCCACGCTCCGCCGTCGTCACCCAGCAACCTGCGTCACCCGGAACTTGGGGGATTTGCTCTTAAAGGGACCGCGCCCTGGCTCGCCTTTGGGGAGGAGTTTTGTTTTGTTTCGTTTTGTTTTGTTTTGAATTAAAGGCCTGGTCCGACTTTCATTACGGACCTTGGTGGCCCGGCGCGAGGGATTGCCACCCCTATCATCCGCAGCCAGCGAGATAATAAAGGTGGGATTCAAATTAAATAAATAAACTTAAATTAATTAAAACAAATAGCTAAATACTGAGAACTCACATTCTCAATAAGAAACTTAAAAACTACTGTGTGTTTTTTTTTTTAATGAATGAATAAAATAAAACCTCCATGTTCAGGAGCAGGGCGGCTCAAGCGTTTTACAAGCTGTTTTACAAGCCTAGACAGATGCCAGACTCTGGAAATTCAAGAAAAATAAAAACTCACTTAAATGAGGGACCTTCATTTTCAATGTCATTATTTTCACAAGATTCACACAGGATTACTGAGATTAAATATAAAAAAAACCCAATATTAAAGTCTCCCCCCAAAAAGAAAAATGCAAATAAAGATCAAACGCTCTGACTGTCTGTACATGCCTAGAGGCACTGTGGTGTCTTGCCAGCTCACCAGAGCAGAATGAAACGCAGGAAGTCTCTTTTCCCCTCCCTCCCCAACACACACAGATCAAGACACAAAACCTTCAAAGAGGCAAAAAGAAATACTTGCACAACACAAGATGACCACAAAAAAGCATTTTTATCCAAGAAAAAAAAACCCAAGACAAAAGTTTCTGTTCGTTTGTTCCTTTTTAATTCCGTTTTGTGGTTATTAACAGCACTGATGCAGCCAGAAACAATTTGATCAGGTCAAAAACAGCAATAGCATCATTATTCCCAGATCCTACAGCCCTAAAATAAAACAGAAAAACACCCATCGGGAGGATTTTGAAGACCTGGCTAGAAATCAAAATAACAACACCAAAACTAGCAGCATTTAAAAGAAAAGGTAAAGTGCGTTTTGGGGAGACTCTTGTTAACTAACCCTCAGCGTTTTAGGGGTCCATGCCTACCACCGATCGGTGGCCGAACCCCAAATGATCAGATTCTCAAAAATTTGGCTGAGCTGGCTGGAAAGAGAATGAAATGCCCCCAGCTCGGAATGAGGAGGAAAGGAAGGAGAAATAGACCCCCAGACCCCAATGGGAAGACATTTCTCAATCACATGGAGGAGGCATTTAGATGCCACGGCTTGAAGATGTGTGGACTTCAACTCCCAGAATTCTCTAGCCGGTTGACTCAGGGATTCTGGGAGTTGAAGTCCACGCATCTTCAAAGTGCCAAGGTAGAAAAACCATGGTACTGAGGGTCTTTCGGTCCCAAAAAAATGGGACAATCCCAATTGTGACCTCTGCAGAGATTGGGCTGGCACAACCTACCCCCTGTGCATGCCCCCCTCCCCAAACCGATGTCCCCTGAGAGGGCCCTCAATTGAGCCAGAAGGAAATTATGTATCTGCCAATTGAGGCGCATTTTGGAAACTGAATTTTGAAAGGGATGGGGCTAGATTGAAAGGGAGCAAGGTCCTCATTCCCCCCCCCTAAAAATAATAATTAAAAGGTGTAAGAGACAATTGCAGAAGTCACGAAAGGATCATAAACAAAGGAAGAGCAAGAAGAGAAATACAGAAGCAATCAAGTCATCAAAATCCATTACAGCTGATAATTCTATCCTCCCTCGCTTGAAGGAATCGCAAAATGCAATTGTCCAATTTCTCCCTCCGAATCTCGTCTTACATTTCATCCATCCAACTTCGTGCGTCACTCTCAGCCCACCTGCACACACCTGCTAATAAATTCATTACTGTTTGAGGTTAACTCGGTTAACTTCATAAGGACTAGCTCCTTTGCAAGGGCTGTTTTATTTAGGGCAAAAGCCACAGGAAATGACACGGGGATCAAAAGATCATAGAAATCTGAGGATCAGGACAGAAAGACCAAAAGTTTAACCGACTTGCTATGTCACAAGCATGTAAAGGACGGGATGGGATTACAAGGTTGAAGAAACTCAACCAAAGATTTGTTTCAGAAGCCAAGCTCAGCCCACATCTGAATTTATCTGGGTTGCACCCAGTCCTATAAATTATGATTAAGATTCCCTTTGGGAGGAACAAGGTCATTCATTTGTGGCAAGCAGGCATCGGGGGTTAATTTCATTCCATAACCACTAAAAAAAAAAGCAAATTAACTTCATTGATGGCTAAAATAAAACGAGTAAGGGGGATTAGATCCAGGACTGGACATGCCAGCCCACCGTTGGGGATGTCAATGTTCTTCCTACTAAGCCAAAAAAATTGCTAAGATAGCAAGGGCTGGCTACAAGGAAAAGCGCCCACGTGAGGAGAAAGAAAAAGGGATTGCAAAATAACTCTGTGCACGGAAGGGACGGGCACAAAGAGGAACGAGACTCTCCACTTTCTCCCCCCAAAGTTCCCATCATCTGGAATTGTTTTCCCAGTAGCGTAACTGGGGGAGGGAGGGAGGGACAGACAGCCTCTTCCTGGACTCCCATTTCAGTTGCTTATCTGCTCTGCTGCAAATATTGATGTGTGAACATGTTCAGCTCACTGTCCAGCCATCCAGCTTTATTCCTGTAAAGGCAGAGAACCCATATTAAAACAAACGAGAAAGAAATAAGTTATAGCCTGCTAGGTTCAATCCATAAAAGCCAGTTTTGCTTCAAATGAGCCTCAAAACCTGAACATTCCAAACTAAGTCATTACTAAAAGTGAAAATGCCAATAGCCTTTTTCAAATATAAGGCATTTGTATTTTGATCACTGTAGAAAGTTAAAAAAAAAAACTTACCAAAACAGGCACATTCATAACTATGAACATAATTATCTGTCCATTTGATTAGGCTTGGAAATATGTATGAAGGAATGGCTTATTTTAGGACCATTGTCCTTCTTGATTTATGGATGTTTTTAATGGGATTCTTTGGTTTGAAAAAAATAATTTTAATGGGATTCTTTGGCGTGAAAAAATAATCTCAAACTAGGTTTGCAAAAGGAAGCGGCTGAAAGATGATGCAGAGAAAAAGACTTGACGTTCCCTCACAAAGAATGTCTGCTATTTTTTTTAATACATATAACAAAATGTAATGCAGGAATAAATTTATGAATGAATGAGAACGCTCTAACCCAGGGGTAGGCAACCCTGGCTCTTTTATGACTGGTGGACTTCAACTCCCAGAATTCCTGAGCCAGCATGGCTCAGCTTGGAAACCTTTCCCTTTCCCCTCAGTGTGGCTGGCTCAGGAATTCTGGGAATTGAAGTCCACGAGTCATAAAAGGGCCCAGTTTGAAGACCCCTGGTTTAAATATTTAAATATTTTTTCCTCACGGTCACATGATCAAAATTCAGGCATTTGGGCAGAGGTAGGCAACCTTGGCTCTTTTATGACTCGTGGACTTCAACTCCCAGAATTCCTGAGCCAGCCATGCTGAGGGGAAAGGGAGAGGTTTCCAAGCTGAGCCATGCTGGCTCAGGAATTCTGGGAGTTGAAGTCCACCAGTCATAAAATGAGCCAAGGTTGCCTATCTCTGCCCTAATATAATAGTGACAACAAAAAAGATGAATATGTTTTCCTATTCTTGCCCAGATCATCAAAAATTCGTTGGAAAGCAGTGGACCTTATTTACAGGCAGAGTTTAAAAATCTGAAATCCAGGTTTTTTTTAGCAAGTGCAAGACGATGCATCCATTTTATGTAAAGTGAACACCCGCCACCCCATTCCAAGCAGCGGACAAACATAAACACGGAAGTGCCTTACCTAAGCAACTTGGCTTTACTCTGTAAAGTATCCAAAATCTCAATCTTTTGATTCAGGCCTGCAATTTCTTTCTCCAAATCTTCTCTTGTCACGTCCACCTGCTGGCAGAGCTGAGCAAAAGTTCCCGCCAGTTCCCTTTGGCAAGATTTTTTTAAATTGAAAAGAAAAAAAATCGTCAAAAAAAGATGAAAGGGGACGAGACACTGACCTCAACGAGAGAAAAGCCTCCCCCCCTTACAAATCTAATATGGCAGCTTTGTTTTTCCTCCCCACTTCACACACAATGTAAAAATCCTGAAAAGGCTGCAATAATATCAGTAAACGGTAAAATATCTTAAAGTTGTCATCTACCACTGATTTCAAATTAGCTGGGATCGGATCACTGGTTGCATGCTGGGTGAGCCCAAGGGTTTAATTTTAAAGACAGGCATTTCAGTTCTGCCCCAACGTGTCTGACTTTGCTATCGGGGGCTGGGGGGTGTTTTTTGTGGCGCTAAGTCATTCCCACAATTTTGCTTCACAAAAATCCCTGCACAGCCTAGCCCAGGGGTAGGCAACCTGGGCTCTTTTATGACTGGTGGACTTCAACTCCCAGAATTCCTCAGCCAGCATGGCTCAGCTTGGAAACCTCTCCCTTTCCCCTCAGCGTGGCTGGCTCAGGGATTCTGGGAGTTGAAGTCCACGAGTCATGAAGGGGCCATAGTTCCCCCATGCTGGCTCAGGAATTCTGGGAGTTGAAGTCCACGAGTCATAAAAGAGCCGGGGGGTAGGCAACCTTGGCTCCTTTATGACGTGTGAACTTCAACTCCCAGAATTCCTGAGCCAGCATGGTTCAGCTTGGAAACCTCTCCCTTTCCCCTCAGCTCAGGAATTCTGGGAGTTGAAGTCCACGAGTCATAAAAGAGCCTCGGTTGCCTACCCCTGGTCTAGATACTGTAGAAATTAAGCAAACGAAAGGACATGCTTTTCCCAAATGCCCTTGGCAATTATGCAGAAGGGTTAAAATCCCCATTAAGCGCAGCGGTGTAAAATCTACTCCTAGAAAGGGTGTTTTAGCGCAGGGATCTTCAAACCTGGCCCTTGGTCATGGTCAATTTCAAGCCATTTCAGACTTCACCACCTCCATTTTCTAATTTTGTCTATTTTCCTTTCTGTTAGACCACCACTTTGCCCTGTCCGACTCAGGAAAGAAGATGGTAACCATGCTTAGCTTATGAAAACGCCTGCTTGCATCTTAATAGTAAGTGCCCTTGGGGGCATTTCAGAGTTGGGACTGATTTGACTCTGCTTTGGGTCTGACTCCGATCCTCAACTGGATAATTTTGGAAAGAAAGGCCTAGCGCAGGGGGTCTTCAAACTTAGCCCTTTTATGACTTGTGGATTTCAACTCCCAGAATTCCTCAGCCAGCATCGCTGGCTGAGGAATTCTGGGAGTTGAAATCCACAAGTCATAAAAGGGCTAAGTTTGAAGACCACTGGTTTAGTGAATGAGGTGTAAAGCAAGCTAAATTTTAATTCTTCTATCCTCGGGCCAGTGTACGCTACCAATTGTAAAAGAGTCTTTTCCCGAAATGGCTTCTGATGCTCTTTCTACTCAGAGAAGGCCAAAAAGGTTGTGTAGATAGAGAGTCCTTGCCTTACAACCACAATTAAGCTCAAGTGAGACAGTAATTAAGTGGAACTTTACCCCATGTCACGACATTTCCTGCCCTAGTTAAGTGAATCTCTGCAGTAACAGAGTTGGAAGGGACCTTGGAGGTCTTCTAGACCAACCCCCTTGCTCAGCCAAGAAACCCCCAATACCATTTCAGACAAATATTAGATAACGTTTGTCTGAATAGTGACACCGCTGATTCTGTCAGGTCACCAAAGGGGACACTGCGACCATCGTGAATAGGAACCAGTGGCCCCAGCGCCCGAATTTTGATCATGTGACCACGGGGAATGCAGAATCAGCCGTTAAGTGTGAAAATTGGTCACAAAGTCATTTTCCTCAGTGCTGTTACAACTTCAAACAGTCGCTAAATGAACCATTGATAAGTTGAGGACCACCTGAACCCCTGGAGCAGCCACATGTTCACTAAACTAAGGGTTTAAATCTCTCTACTGCAGAGGTCCTCAACCTTGGAGAGAGGTTTTTCCACAGACTGGAAGGTGCGTGGTTTTGTGTGCTGCCTGCATCTTGCGGGTGGGTTTTTGTTCGTTTGTGTGGACCGGTTGCTAGCATGCTGCGGCCTGGCACTGGCCCACGGACCGGGGGTTGGGGACCCCTGCTCTACTGGGACCGAGGAGGAGAATTCTTCAGGATACACAGCATCCCGTTGCTAAGTGTCTGAATTTTGATGCTGCAACCGTCGTAAGTGACAAACATCTGTAAGTCACTCCCCCCCCCAGGGGTGTTGCAACTTGGAATGGTTGTTAAGTTGGGGACTGCCTGCATTCTGCAGCCTGGCACTCGGGCTGCACTGGGCACAGCGCAGGGAGGGCGTCGCGAGGCTTAACTCACTGCTGCACTTGGTGGCTGCAGTTGGAGCCGGTGTAGCTGACAATGAGCTGAAGCTTCTCTCCGGCGTAGTCCACGAACTGGCGCTTGAAGGCCCGCTCTTTCGCCCTGGTGGTCCAGGTGAGGCGCTCGTAGACGTACAGGAGTCCGTAGAGGCCCAAGGAGAGGGCGATCAGCCTCCAGCCCACCGCCTTCCAGACCTGGCCAGGGGGATGCAGACAGGAAATGGGGGCAGTTTTGAACAGAATATGTCGTGGCTGGAGTTGGGCTCATGGCCAAGACAAGAAGCAAATGGGGGGGGGGGGGAAGGAAATGGATTGGAATGGAAAGGAGGTATTGGGGGGGGGTCAAAGGAACGCAAGAGCCAGCGTTTCACTCTGGGAAAGTCTACTAAACAAAAAAGAGCCCCTTGCCCAAAGAAAATGAACACCATGGATTGGAAGGAAATACAATGATTGAGGGAGGGCCAGGAGAAAAGGGGGCCTTGAATTGTGCTATTTGCACGTGAACCCCTTAGAATTGGCTTTGCTACTTCCCCATCCGTGCCTGCACTCTTGGAAAGTGAAAATGCCCCAAGGGGTCTTCTTTATTTGCTGAATGAACCGGGAGGGACGGTTGACAGAATAGACGAGAATAATAAGGTTGGGAGGGACCTTGGAGCTCTTCTAGTCTGTCCAGTCTCTTCTTAAGACGCTCCAGTTGATGGAGCACCCGTAACTTCTGGAGGCAAGTCGTTCCCCTGATTAATTGTTCTCACTGCCAGGACGTTTCTCCTTAGTTCTAGGTGGCTTCTCTCCTTGATTTTTTTTTAAAAAGCCGGGGTTTTTTTCAAAAAAATGACAGTTTTGCAGCATCTGACAGGCTAAGGCAGTGATGGCGAACCTTTTAGAGACTGAGTGCCCAAACTGCAACCCAAAACCCATTTATGCATCGTCGGGTGCCGGATGGGTGTGGCTCATTGGGTGGGCGTGGCCCATTGGGTGGGCGTGGCTACAGAGGTAACACCAGACTGGGTGGGACTAAAAAGTTCAATCAATCAATTCCAACTTTGCAAGATCTTTTTTTTCCCCGCAAGTTGAAATTGACTGATTGATTGAACCTTTTTTTTGCACATGGCAGAGGAGGCCTAAAGCGAAAAGGTTTTATAAAACCCAGCTGAAGGCCTAGGACTGGGGCGATGGCGCGTGCGCCCACAGAGAGGGCTCTGAGTGCCGCCTCTGGCACCCGTGCCATTGGTTCGCCACCACGGTTCTAGTCTGTCCAGTCTCTTCTTAAGACGCTCCAGTTGATGGAGCACCCGTAACTTCTGGAGGCAAGTCGTTCCCCTGATTAATTGTTCTCACTGCCAGGACGTTTCTCCTTAGTTCTAGGTGGCTTCTCTCCTTGATTTTTTTAAAGAAGCCATTTTTTAAGCCAGTTTTGCAGCATCCGACAGGCTAAGGCGTGTCCCTAATACCCAAAAGCTGTAGGATAATGGCGTCCCAAATACAGACCCTAAAATTACGCTGATTACTCCGCCCAGCGTTTACCCTGTGATAAGATGGGTGGCCGATAAATTTGATAAACAAAAATAAAAGAGAGCAAAGGAGAGGGTCTCGGGGAAAGCAGGAAAGACGAACAAACACAGAACTAGAGGGAGCTTCCAGACATGGACTTCAGCACCCATTGCTCTGAGCTAGCAGGGTCCGCTGACTCTGGAATGGCTGAGATATGCTTCCACGTCTGCCTGGAAGGGCTGGAGAGAAATCAGGAAGCTGGCCTCCATCACCCCACTTCTTTTTCCTGAGCGCTCCCCCCAAAACCTACCACTCCACCGATCACCAGGATGCCCATCGAAGTCCTGGAGGTGAGGGAGGCCAAGCCGGTCACCATGGAGACCATCAGCTCCTCCTGAGTCAAGGAACCCTGTGGCATGGGGGGCAAGCTTGGGTTCGCTGGGGTCAGGGGCAACGGACGCTGGACCTGGTGGGCAAAATTGGAAAGAGAGGGACAATTGGAAAGCTAAGACAGGCTGCCGCCTCTGGGGGAATTCCAGCCTCCGGTGCCCGTTCTGCAGATGAAGCGAGTGAGGCCAGGGGGAAAGGACCATTAAGGAACACAGGAGAGGAAAAACTCCACGCCAGCAAAGGTCAGTTTGGAAGGATAACAAAAATGACACAGCTTGGTCTCCCCCGGACAGGCCTCAGGAGAAGCCGAGTCTCCACGCGCAGGGGGGAATTTACCTTGCATTATCTTGTTTGTTTGTTTGTTCACTAGTTTTATTCCTTTGTAACATAAATAGTTACAAATAGTAAGGGGCAACAGCCGAGAAAGGGCAAACAAAAAAGGGGTGAAGAAAGGGAGGGGAAGTAACAAAAGGCACTGACTTTCGACTCTCCCTGTTGTAGTAAAATCAGACATGAAAATCAAATCTCAACTTTTTACATTTCTATAGTAGCATGCACTAGCCCAGGGCTCTTCAAACCTGGCCCTTTGATGACTCGTGGACTTCAACTCCCAGAATTCCTCAGCCAGCGTGCATGCTGGCTGAGGAATTCTGGGAGTTGAAGTCCACGAGTCATCAAAGGGCCAGGTTTGAAGAGCCCTGTTCTACAGTCTGAAGAAAACTATGTCAAATATTCAGAACAATAACACTATTCAAAATCTCAGACTCTTTAAATCTAGTTCTTATGACCCCAGCTAGCAGTTGGAACTTGATCTATTGCAGGGCTCTTCAAACTTGGCCCTTTGATGACTCGTGGACTTCAATTCCCAGAATTCCTCAGCCAGCAACGCTGGCTGAGGAATTCTGGGAGTTGAAGTCCACGAGTCATCAAAGGGCCAAGTTTGAAGAGGCCTGCCCTAGCCATTTCTGTATCGGCAGATCAGTCTAATTGGTAAAACCCAAAATCATAATATCGTTTTCCCCCCCCCACCTCAAGCAGGACCTCACGTCATCACACCCGAGTCTTACCTGGTCGCTGTAGCCCATCAAAGCCCGGCGGGTGTTTTTGGGCCCCAGAAACCGGTTCACCAGCATGGTCCAGCCGAGGGAGAAATGGAACTGGACGTCTTCCTGGAAGTCGGCGCAGAGCTTGTCGCAGTTCAGGTCGTAGCTGAGGGCGAAGCACTGCCTGGGCACCAGCAGCTCGATCTGCCCCCTCAGGGAGATGGGGAGGAGCGGCTTCAGGCCATCTGAAAGACACAGCAGGGAGGGAGAGAGAACACGGTGTGTGTGTGTGTGTGTGTGTGTGAGAGAGATCCACGGCCCACATCTCAGCACAACTCAGGAGGAAACAGAACTACGTCATGGGCAGGCTGGGGGTGGGACTAGAGGAGGGATGGGGAACCTTGGCTCTTTTACGACTTGTGGACTTCAACTCCCAGAATTCCTGAGCCAGCATGGGGGAACTATGGCCCCCTTTATGACTTGTGGACTTCAACTCCCAGAATTCCTGAGCCAGCATGGGGGAACTATGACCCCCTTTATGACTTGCGGACTTCAACTCCCAGAATTCCTGAGCCAGCATGGGGGAACTATGACCCCCTTTATGACTTGTGGACTTCAACTCCCAGAATTCCTGAGCCAGCATGGGGGAACTATGACCCCCTTTATGACTTGCGGACTTCAACTCCCAGAATTCCTGGCCAGTGTGCCTGGCTGAGAAATTCTGGGAGTTGAAGTCCACAAGTCCTAAAAGAGCCAAGGTTTCCCCACCCCTGGACTAGAGGACCTCCGGTGTCCCCTTCCCACCCTCCCAAGGGATGCTCACCAATCATTTCTTGCTGCATGATCTGCAAAGAAGCTGCGATGGAACTGGAGCAGCGATCTGACATGTTGCGGCCCAGGCCTTCCTCGATGTGTCGATGCAGCTCCTGGGAAAGAAAAAAACGAGGGAATCCTGGGAATTGGAAGAGTCACTTCTCTTGAAGTCCCTGGCGCTCTCTGAGGACTGGGAGGGGGAGCTGAGAAGGGAGGATCAAGGCATGGAGGGCGACATCACCCAACCCGCCAAGATGGGGACGGTTGCTAAAACAATTTCTTTTAAAGCAGGGGTCTTCAAACTTGGCCCTTTTATGACTTGTGGACTTCAACTTCCAGAATTCCTCAGCCAGACACGCTGGCTGAGGAATTCTGGGAGTTGAAGTCCACAAGTCATAAAAGGGCCAAGTTTGAAGACCCCTGAACTAGATCAATAGTCCCTGGAAGGTGTCTTTGGCTGTCCGTGAGAATGAAGGACGGTCAAAAAAACAATAATTTAAAAAAATGGCCACTGAAAGGGAATCTCTGGATGACCTCTCTACTGCTGCTGCTCTCGTGCCCTAATCCAGGGGTTTCCCAGCTGTTGTTGTTTTTTAATTTTCATTTCTGTCATTTTCTTCTTCTTTTTTTGAATTGTGTTAGCCCAGGGGTCTTCAAACTTGGCCCTCTCATGACTCGTGGACTTCAACTCCCAGAATTCGTGTCTAACTGAGGAATTCTGGGAGTTGAAGCCCACAAGTCATCAAAGGGCCAAGTTTGAAGACTCCTGCTTTAAAGTAATTGGACAGGGGGAAGTAACCAGGGGGAAGGAGGAGAAAGGGAAAAGATTTCACGGGGGAAAATTTCGGTGCCTTACTGTCACCACTTGGCTTTCGCTACAAATGGAGCTGGGAGTCTTTCTTTCCTAGAAGGCCAAGCTGGGGCAATTACTTTAAAGACACTGAGCTGGGTTGTTTTGTTGTAGACGTTTCATCACCCAAACTGGGTAACATCATCAGTGCTGGAAGGGAGCACCAGCCCTCTCCCTTCTAGCCCTGATGATGTTACCTAGTTGGGTCATGAAACGTCTGCAAGAAAACCACCATGCTCAGAGAGCACCAAGGACCCCTCAGCCCTCCTCCTCCTCCTCCTTCCCTCTCCCTCTGCAAACCCCCCTCCCTTCTAGCACTGATGATGTTCCCTAGGTGGGTCATGAAACGTCTGCCAGAAAACAAGCAAGCTCAGAGAGTGCCAAGGACCCCTCATGTCAACCCTGAGTAGCCAATATTGTCCTTCACTGATCCCTCTTGAAGTCATCAAGGTTATTGTGTTGCCCAGCTTGATGGGTTTGGGATTAAGAGACAGACAATGCAGACGATGGACTTGAGATAACAAAGGATACTCCATTATTAAGTGGTGATGTGTTAGGATGAGAAATAGAAAATGCTTATGAAATAAATTAAGAATATATTTAAGTAAGTAATATGTGTATTTTAGATATTATAACTTTTATGTAGTGCAGTGTTTCTCAACCTTGACAATTTTAAGGCATGTGGACTTCAACTCCCAGAATTCCACAGCCAGCATTCACTGATGTAGTGAGACAAAGGAAATTCGGGTTACTTGAAACTCAAATACTATGGATATTAAAGATCAAATTGGAGTACTGCAATTAAAAACTAAAAACTAGGTAAATATTAAAAACAGGACATGGATATGTATAAGCAAAAAATGTGATAATGAAGTTTTAACTGAGTTTGAGATAATTAGAAATTTACTAGCTTAAATATGATACAGCAAATGTTAAGGGAAATAGAGAAGAAATATTTGATGATGTAACCTAAAGATTTTGTTATTGAACTATCGAGTCACCCAATCACCACGCTGCTTTCCAAATACTCAAATGTAAAACTGGAAAACCAATAAAATATTATTAAAAAAAGAGAGAGAGAGAAAGGGCACAGCAACAGATTCCCTTACGGACCTTTCTCCGCAGAGGGTTAAACTTCTGAAGGTGGATTTTGCCTCCAGGGGGAGACAGCCACGGGGGGGGGGCACACCGGACCCCCAGTGCCTCCCAGGGAATGACCCAGCCTGCACGAAGGGGCTTACGTTCTTATACACCTTCAGGACCACCGGGGAAGGATGGAAATCCAGCTGAAACTCGTCCACCAGCACTGACAGCTTCCTGATCTCCTCTCCCATGGCGTTGGAAACCTGGAGGGAAAGCTGCACGCTGAGTGGGCAGGAACCGGGCTGCGTTTCCTTTACTTTCCAAGAAAGCCAGCCCCCCCATACACACACACAGTGCAAACACCCTGATAAAATGGAGGAAACCAAGCCTGCAGAGGTTTGTCTTGCGAATCCCCAGTCGGGGTGCTGAGTATGGCAGAGACTAGCGACGATAAAGATACTCTTGAATCCCAGCTCAGCTTCTACTTTTCTTTGTGGTAAAAAAAAGGCCCGCTGGGCGTTTCCTGCTGGGGTCGTCTTTGCTCCCGGGAACCCAGCAGCGCAAAGCCGGCTTGGAGTGCAGGGAAAGGGCCTCACCTGGCGCTCCACCTCTTCCGTGAGTTCCTTGATTTTCAGTTTGTAGCTCTGGGAGAGCAAGTCCAGCTGTTTCTCTATGAACCCCAGGCGCTCCTGGCGGTCGTCCCACTTCTCCAGGCAATACACTCTGCAGGACACGAGGGAGGGAGGGAGGGAAAGGGAAGGAGGGAGGAAAGGGAGGAAGGGAGGGAGGGAGGGAGGAAAGGAAGGGAGGAAGGGAGGGAGGGAAGGAGGAAGGAAAGGAGGAAGGGAGGGAGGGAAAAGGAAGGAGGGAGGGAGGGAGGAAAGGGAGGGAGGAAGGAAGGGAGGGGAAGGGATCAAACAAAAGAATCAAATGAAGGAAGGGAGGGAGGGAGGGAAAGAGGAAGGGATCAAAGGAAGGAATCAAACGAATGAATCGAAGGAAGGAAGGAATCGAAGGAAGGGAGGGAAAAAGGGAGGGGAAGGGATCAAAGGAAGGAATCAAAGGAAGAGAGGGAGGGAGGGAAAAGGAAGGAGGGAGGGAAAGAGGAAGGAAGGAAAGGAAGGAAGGAATCAAAGGAAGGGAGGGAGAAAAAAGGAAAGAAGAAACAAAAGCACCCAGTTTCTAAACCAGCTGAAATCCGGCCAAGGCCTCCTTGCTGTGCTCTTTGAGTTCAACTTCCACAAATTCTCTGGGAAATCCCAAAGGAGGCACCTCTGTTCCTGTGCGGCCACGTGGACGGAGTCCATGATGTGCCGGACCTCCTCAGCAATCTGCTTGGCTCTGACCGTGTGCTGCTCAAACTTGGTCTTGACCGCAGACTGTGAGATGCACTCCTGCAGGAAGGAAGACACACCTCAGCTCTCCCGACAAAAGTCAGCATCCTTTCCCCTGAGCAGCCAGGCTGTGAACCCCCCCCCACCCTTGGGCTCATTTTATCAGCTCAGACCCCGTTAATAGTGTCCTTGGGGACTAGCGGCTTAATCACAGTAAAAATAGGCAAACCAGGATCTTTAGGATGTTGCCTTAGGAATCTACTTCAAAGTGTTGAACAATGCAGGATTCTCTGCTTAATGATATCATTTGCTTCTGACTCTGGAGCCAGATCAAATGTTCTCATAGTTCAAATAAGGGTTTATAGAAAGGAAGTGTATGGAGATGAAAGAACCACTGTAAAGTGCTCTGGGTAATATTGTTCACACGGCCTGCTATTGGATTCTTCAGGATAGTTTCGAGATTTTTTTTTTTGTTATTAATTACAAAACAAAATCCTTTGCTTGCTAAAATATACAGCTCTTATATATTAAAAAATGTAAACTACAGGGTCTAATTATATTATAGACCTAGTTGTATCATATACATTTAACAACATCACAGTTGTTAAATTTAATGGGTAAATTAAGAAAATGTGTTAGAATTTACCACCCAAACGTCTTAAGCTGGTCTCTGAACCCTGGGCTCTGAAGAGCAAAAACTCACACACAAATGGATGGAGTGGATGGAAATGTACCAAGGAGAGAAGCAACCTGGAACTAAGGAGAAACTTCCTGACAGTGAGGACAATTAACCAGTGGAACATCCTGCCTCCAGAAGCGGTGAATGCTCCAACGCTGGAAGTTTTTAAGAAGAGATTGGACAGCCATCTGTCCAAAATGGTATATAGGGTTACCTGCCTGAGCAGGGGGCTGGACTAGAAGACCTCCAAGGTCCCTTCCAACATCATCATCATCATCATCATAAATATCAACGTCTAACAATGCACTTGCCTCAAATCTTCGCTCAAAATTCTGGAATTCAAACATCCTCACTTGGAAACCCTCCGCCAGGGCTCCACCTAGAAAGAAAAAAAAAACAAGCGCCATCAGATTTGAACAGCAAAACAGGCCCACGTTTGTTTTTTAAAAGTTCCTAGTCCTCATGGGGACCAAGGCAAACTTGAATAGCCAGGAGCAACGTCAAGTGTAATTTTTAAGGGGGAAGGGGTTGCAGATTTAGAAACGGGGAGAGGCTTAGAGCAGTGTTTTTTCAATCTCAGCAACTTTTTAAGACTTGTGGACTTCAACTCCCAGAATTCCCCAGCCAGCTGTGCTGGCTGGGGAATTCTGGGAGTTGAAGTCCCTCCCATCTTACAAGTCGCCAAGGTGGAGGAACACTGGTTTAGAGGGTCTCTCACCTCCTTCAGGCATACCCTGAGCCTTCTGGATGCGGGCGTTCAGGACCTCTTTCGCAGAGACAAAAAAGATGCGGTCACCAGCCTGGGCACGATCCACCACGCCCAGCTCGTCCACCAGGAAGCTGGTGCAGCGTTCCATGTGTTGCCGGCGAACCTGCAGGAGACGATAGCAGTGAGGGGTAGATAAGACAGGCCAATCTTTCCTATTCGGGCTGCTCTCCTTCAGCCACCCCAGAGGAAGCCTCACCTCCTCCATGTATTCCGGTTCGGATGCCGAAGCGTCCCAGCGGTTATTCAGAATGAAAATGTTTGGCCGAGAGAGGCGAGCGTTGACTTTGTGGAAGAACTGTTTCTCCTGGATGGGCAGGAAAGAAACAACAAGAAGAAGAAGAATTACAAAATTCTAGAAACACGAGGATCGTAAAATTATATTTGGGATAAAATTTGGGTTAAAATTAGCTTTGGGATAAAAAGCACCTTTGGGATAAAATTAGCTTGAAAAATCAGAATCAGAACAGAGCGAGAAGGGGCCTTGGAGATCTTCTAGTCCAGCCCCCTGCTTAAGCAGGAATCCCTATACAATTTCTGACAGTCTTTTCTTAAAAGCCTTCAGGGATGAATCATCCACAACTTCTGGTGGCAAGCTGTTCCACTAGTTAAATGTCCTCACTGTTAGAAAGTTTCTCCTTAATTCAAGGTTGCCTCTCCCCTTGATTAGTTTCCAATCTTTGTTTCTTGTCCTGCCTTCTGGTGCTTTGGAAAATAAGCTGAGCCCCCTCCTCTTTGTGGCAGTCCCTCAAATACTGGAAGACATCTATAATGTTCACCCCTAGTCCTCGTTTTCTCTAGACTGGCCATACCCAAATCCTGCAACCATTTTTTACATGTTTTAGTCTCCAGGCCTTTAATCATCTCGGTTGCTCTTCTCTGCACCTTTTCCCAAAGTCTCAACATCTTTTTTAATAATGTGGTGAACAAAACTGGACGCAGAATTCCAGGTGTGGCCTCACTAAGGCTCTATAAAGCGGTATTAACACTTCGCAGGATCTCGATTCTTTCCCTCTATTTATACAACCCAGGATTGTGTTAGCTTTTTTGGGCTGCTGCCGCACACGGCTGGCTAAAAAAAAGGAGTCATCTATTCAAAACCTCAACCTTTCTGCCCCTTCTGCCCCCCCCCCCAGGGTTCTTGAGCAGAGGGAGTGTGGGGTCAGTGGAGATGCAACTGTGTCTTCAATGAATTTTTTAAAAAACAGGAGTTGCAAACTCAGCTTTGCCACCGGATGTGACGACTGATGTGAAAGACAGACAAACGAGCAAATCCAGTTGGTTTCCTCTAATTCGCCAATACGCAATGCCAAACTTTTTGTGCGTTCAAGTGCCTTGATACTAGACCTGACAGCATCCTGGAACTTGTGTGATTCTTGCAAAAGTTTAGCTAAAAACAAAGTCAGGGAGGCCGGGAATGAAAAGGGAGCCACCTTCTTACCGTCTGCATCAGGGTCGACTCAGAGTTGGCCACCAACACAAACACGTCCGCATCCAAGCAGAATTTATCAATCCAGCTATCCAGCTCAGTGGTGACGTCAATTCCAGGGCTAATAAACAGATATTAAGAAACACAGAACTGAGATCGTAATTTACACGCTGAAATGGCGTTCTCTTCCAACACACACACACGCAGGTCCTCTAGGACAGAGGTAGGCAACCTTGGCTCTTTTATGTCTCGTGGACTTCAATTCCCAGAATTCCTGAGCCAGCCATGCTGGCTCAGGAATTCTGGGAGTTGAAGTCCACGAGTCATAAAAGAGCCAAGGTTGCCTACCCCTGCTCTAGGAGTTTTAAATTTTGATTTTGCCTTTAAAATACAGGTAGTCCTCAACTTACAACAGTCCGTTTAGCAACCGTTCGAAGTTACAACGGCACTGGAAAAAGGGACTCCTGACTGTGGTTCACACAACTATCACAGCATCCCTGCGGTTTACGTGATCAAAATTCGGACGCTTGGCAATTGATTCGTATTTATGACGGTTGAAGCGCACCTTTTGCGACCTCCTGACAAAAGCCAGGCTCACTTAACAACCGTTGTTGCTAACTTAACTGTAGTGATTCACTTAACGACTGTAGCGAGAAAGGTCGTAAAATGGGGAAAAATCCATTTCACAAATGTTTCACTTAGCGACAGAAATTTTGGGCTCAATTGTGGCCATTAAGGTGAGGACTGCCTGTACAGAACTGGCATCACGACTGACAGACTGAATTGGTCTTCTCTCTTCCAACGTCCCCCCCCCCCACCCTGTATGAGTTTTAAACTTTGCTTTCCAGTTCTAAAAGGTAGGATCAGAAGAGTTATGTTGGATTAATTAAAATAATTTTAGTTATTTTTTATAGACCCTGGCGAAAGTCCATCTCACATTTATTCAGACGATCAAGGCACAACAGCTACAATTTAAGAAAACCTATAAGAGAAATTGCCTTTTTCCTGGCTGGGTGTTAAGAGAGGGAACATTTTCATTTTGGGGTGGGGGGGGAAACAGCCACTCACCTGTCCATCAAAACGAGATCATCCTTGAGCAAAGGGCACTTGGAATTCGGCCACATGACGCTGACCAGACCCCCGGCAGTTAGCAATTCGTCCTGGTGGAGGGCGTGAGCCAGCTGGTTGACCGTCTGGGGCAGGAGAAAGAAGGAAGACAGACCGAGGAAATAATTACGAAGATGTTTTTTAAAAAATGCAAGAATTTAATAATAACCCGCTGGACAATGTAGGTCAGGGGTAGGCAACCTTGGCTCTTTTATGACTTGTGGACTTCAACTCCCAGAATCCCTGAGCCAGCCACGCTGAGGGGGAAGGGAGAGGTTTCCAAGCTCAGCCATGCCGGCTCAGGAATTCTGGGAGTTGAAGTCCACGAGTCATAAAAGAACCAAGGTTGCCTACCTCTGGCCTAGGCCTAGGCTGCTTTATGACTCGTGGACTTCAACTCCCAGAATTCCTGAGCCGGCATGGCTAAGCATGGAAACCTCTCCCTTTCCCCTCAGCATGGCTGGCTCAGGAATTCTGGGAGTTGAAGTCCACGAGTCATGAAGGGGCCAAGGTTGCCTACCCCTGATGTAGGTGATGGCTGGAGAAAAAAAAAACGGTTTTGAAGTAATGAGTCACCCACACCACCATCTAGGTGAGGGCTCTCCAACCTTGGCGACTTTAAGACTTGTGAACTTCAATTCCCAGAATTCCCCTCTGGGAGTTGACGTTCACAAGTCTTAAAAGTTGCCAAGGTTGGAGAGCCCCGATTATGTCAACCAACCACCCTCCAGCAGCTTTGGTGTTCAGAGAATATAATTCCTCCCCGAGTTTCTCTGACCCTCAATGTTGGGCTCGTTCCCACATGATACCTTGACACTCTTCTTCTCCTCGGAGCCTTCGGTGAGGAGGAAGGCGTCCTGCCCGTCCGTCCCCTCCACTCTCAGGAAGCAATTTGTGGTGTGGCCGATCCCAGAGGGAAGGACTTTATCCCACAGCATGGCGTTGATCACCGTACTTTTCCCATTGCTCGTCCTAAAAAATGGCAAAACACAGACGGCCACGTCCTCCCATGCTATCCTCACAACAGCCCTGCAAGGTGGTTGATTATCTAGATGCAGGGACTTCCCAAGTGCCTCGTAGCGTCGCTTCGGGACTGTGTTGAGTTCTGAACTCCGGAGGACCAAAACAGGCCCACCGTTGCGGTTGAAACAATCCATGGACAATTTAAGCTGGGCTCCTTCCTCCGAGCTTTGCAGGCTGGACTCAGAATCATGGGGGATGTAGTCCAGCCCCCTCGGAGAGCCTCAAGCTTCCCAAATAACAACAACTGACTCACCGCCCAAAGAAAGCCACTTTCATGTGTCGCCTGGCCAGCACCTCGCTGATCCCGCTGACCTTGGACAGGTAGCCCTTGACCTCGGACACCTGCTCTTCTGTGGTGACCGGGTCAAGCTCACCGTTCTTGTGCGTTTCTGGAAAATAAGCAATATATCGTCTGGGAGGTGAGTGGTTTGAAGGCTGCTGCAAACTCCACTTCCAGACGGTTCTTAAACAGCAGTACAGAAAAAGACATTTTCCCAGCAAAAAAAAAAAGATGCCAAGCTAAAACAAGAATGGGAGAACACTCTGCCTGCTTCAGAACTACGAGTCCCAGCGTCCCTCTGCATGGCCTTGGTTGCTTAAAGCGACCACATTCACACCCTGCAGAAAACCTTGACCGAAATCTAGCTGGCTCAGCACACCAGTATGGAGGATGGCCAGACTGGAGGCAGGAGACTGAGACTAAATTTAGGAAAGAAAGGGTAGAACTTGAGAAATATGGATAACAGATTCAACTCTTTCCTTCCTTCTGTTGTTTGTTCCCTCACGGCCCAATTTAAGATTGTAAACCCCTTGTATTTAAATCCTTATATAGCAGACAGTATTATAAATAAGAAAATAAACCCCAGAAATGGCACCCAAGTTTAAAAACAGCAGAATGAAAGCGCCAACAAGCGCCATGAAGACAACAAGGATAGTTGGAGAAAAACCCAACGCAAAAGAAGTGAACAAAAAGTCAGAAACAAAGAAATTGGAAATGCAGAAGGCCCTGGATTCAAAACCTCAGCTAGCAAAATGTTTCTTTTCAAGAGACACTCATGCTTCTGGTCTTCTTGAGCTGCGGGCATTCACTCACGGCTGTGCACAAGTCAGCAAGCTCTGTGGCACATTAGGCCAACTCACCTTCCAGAAACACGGAGCTCTCCTGGATGTAAGCTGCCAACTGTTCAAAGATGCCATTTATTTTTTTCTTGGCAGTGACAAAATGCTTCAGGGGGGAGGCACTGACTTCCGCCATATGTCTCTTGTCCTTTTTGCTCGCGATGATGGACTTAGAGCGAATGAAGAGCAGGGACATTGTGCTAGGAGGAGAAAAATATATCGATTAGGCACAGGAAAGAAGAAAAGGGGTTAACAGAATAACAGAGTTGGAAGGGACCTTGGAGGTCTTCTAGTCCAACCCCCTGCTCAGGCAGGAAACCCTATACCAATTCAGACAAATGGCTGCCCAGTCTCTTCTTAAAAACTTCCAGTGTTGGAGCATTCACCGCTTCTGGAAGCAGGTTGTTCCACTGGTTAATTGTTCTGACTGTCAGGAAGTTTCTCCTTAGTTCTAGGTTGCTTCTCTCCTTGGTTAGTTTCCATCCGTGGCTTCTTGTCCGGCCTTCAGGGGCTTTGGAGAAGAGCTTGACTCCCTCTTAGCTTAGTTTATAATTCATCACAGGTAAACAAGCAACCATATTACCCCTTATTGTGAAAGTCTAGTTCCCGTAGCATGCTAAAGAAATCACTGTATTTTCCACAACACGCTTGAACCCCAGGCAAATGACAAATTTCCTAAATCTATTAAAGGGATCGTGGGAAAGTTCTATGTTATGAACTCAAAGATTTCCCAAATCGAAGGAGCAAAAAGGCTGGATTTCTGGGAGAATGCTAGAAGGAAACTCACATTTATTTTTAATTGCTCTGAAACCTCTAGGCCAGGGGTCTTCAAACTTGGCCCTTTTATGACTTGTGGACTTCAACTCCCAGAATTCCTCAGCCAGCATTCTGGGGGTTGAAGTCCACAAGTCATAAAAGGGCCAAGTTTGAAGACCCTTGCTCTAGGCCTTTCTTTCCAAAATTACCCTGTTGAGGATCGGAGTCAGAGTTAGCAGCACCCAAAGCAGAGTCAAATCAGTCCCAACTCTAAATTGCCCCCAAGTGCACTTACTATTAAGATGCAAGCAGGCGTTTTCATAAGCTAAGCATGGTTACCATCTTCTTTCCTGAGCTGGACAGGGCAAGTGCTGGTCTAAGAGAAAGGAAAATAGACAAAATTAGAAAATGGAGGTGGTGAAGTCTAAAATGGCTTGAAATTGACCATGAGCAAGCAAATGGCCATAAATCACCATTATATAAATTAAAACACATTTAGGTTTCTTCCTTATAGAATGTATATTTTATAATTCACCTATAAACAGAGGTTCTCCAGGCAGGTTGTCAACCAAGAGACATTTTCACCTCTGACAAGATTTTCCACCATTGAATCAACCTGAATGGCTGTTTTGGAGACGCTTCCCTGCCAATCCTGAAATACTCCATCATGCACTGCCTGGGGGTGAGGGTCCATCAAGCACTGCCAGGGGATGTGTGGAAGTTCATCATACACTGCCTGGGCAGTGTGTGGAGGTCCATCATGCACTGCCCAGGAGTGCTAGAACTCCATCACGCACTGCCCAAGAGAGTGCTAGAACATCATGCACTGCCCAGGGGAGCATATGGAGGTCCATCATGCACTGCCCAGGGAAGTGTGTGGAAGTCCATCATGCACTGCCCAGAAGTGTGGAGGGCCATCATGCACTGCCCAGGAGAGTACTAGAGCTCCATCATGCACTGCCCGGGGGAGCATATGGAGGTCCATCATGCACAGCCCCCTCCGTGCCACAAAACAGCCCCCCCAAAGCAAAACCCCATTTTGGGCCGGGGTGTCGGCCTGCAACTTGCCTCCGAGCTGCCACCTGCGTTCACACGTGCACCGCCTCAGACACTTCTCCTTCTTGTACACGTGAGGGGCCCCGCTCGGCTCCCTCGGGCCGGGAAGAGGCAAAAGGGGGCGAGCAGTTAAACGAGGCCCACCTTCTCCGCGACCACCTCTCTATTGCCGGCGGAGGGCTGAATTAACCCCCCCGAGAACCCGCGTGTAACGTCTATACCCGCCGACACGCGTCGCAGCCCCCCGCGCCTCACCTTCACCTGCCTTCTGCCTCAGCCGCTCGCCTGAAGCGCCCCGGGAAACGTCAAAGGGCGCGACGGGAGGTGACGTCACGCCAGGCGCGACGGCCACGCCCCGCTGCCTCCTGGGAATTGAAGTCTGGCAGCTGTTTATATTCTTTTCCCCCCTTTTTTTAATTTGGGGATGAAGGAAAAGAATCGGGAACGGGGCCAGAGGTTGCTTGAAAGGCCGCGCCCTTCCCTCTCCTTGGTTGTTTTTTTTTGCAGGGGATGGAAATCCACTCTGCCCATGCTCTGGAGTACCGAGTTCAATTTTTAACAACTCAAACATCCCCCTCCATTTAGGGCTCCAGTGCCTTCCCTTCAGTTCGCTGGGGATAATGGGGAGAGGAGTCCAACTGTTGTGGAAGGTGTCTGCCTCTTAATTTTGATTAAAGTGAACATTTTAAAGACAGCTACTGTATTTTTTTTAAAAAAACAAAACCCTAAGTATTTGCTTTTCCTCTGCACAGACTATTTCATGGCATCTCCCCCAAAGCCCAAGCTGGCACAGTCCTACGTAAGTCTACTCAGAAGGAAATTCTATTGAACTCAGCAAGGCTTACACTTGAGTAAAGCTGTAGCTTTAATGGGGCTGGTCGAAGCAGGACATAGCAGCCCCCCCCTTATGCCTCTGCCAATTCCCAAACCCTCCAAACTCAGAACAGTAAATATCATTTCTCTCCCCGTTGTATTTTTAAAAATTATTTCCCTATTGCAATTTCACAAAACACCACAGAGACACACGAAGGACAGCATCTGTAGTCCAGCTTTTGCTTCTCAGCAAGAGCCCATTTTATCGTGGGGGAGAGGGGGCAGGATGACCTTTGAAGGGACAATTTCAGAAATATTTGTTATCTGTCATCGCTTAATGGCCTTCTACCACAACAGGCTGAGAAAAAGGCAGGCAGGCAGGCGTTTGGCTCTTTAAAATAAAACTCTTTTTAATGTCAGACATTTACGTAAAAAATTTTTTTTATCTCCTAGCGAAATCTGTACAACTTGTGCAGGAAAAGTGGCCGACTGAACAAAGGGGGCGGCTTTTAAATAAATACACAGGTAGAAAAACTCTCTGCTCCGGCATCGGGATCTGAGGTGCCTTTGGTATGCCTGAAAAATTTCCAAGCATTTCTCCTCTTGCCGGGCTTCCCGAGAGAGAGAAATATAAAGCTACGGTGAACAAAGGATGCCATGAATTTTCTTTCTTGTCCTCTTGAGGGATCCTATTTCCAACCTTTTTGTGGCAATCCTGGGTGCCATGCAAAAAAATTCCAGCGATGGTTTTAAGAGGCTCCCTTCTGTCAGAACCAGGATCCGTGTGAAGGCATCCCCTTTGGACTCCGACACGTCTTGGGCCACTGCCGTTGAAAGGAAAAAGGTGGAAACTGAGGCAGGGAGGAAGGAGGTGGGCGCTCTCCCCTGGTGGAAAGCAGGGCGGTCAAACGTCTCTGGCTGGCTGGGGCTGAGGGTGGGCAGAGTGCCTCAAGGGATCCTTCTGACTCTAGGCCATCCCCCTGGCGGTCAAGCAGAATCCAATCAAAATGATCTGTTCTGGAAGAAGTCCAGCACTCTTTCCTGCAGCCAGGGGGGGTCAAATGGGTTGGCCAAAAACAACATCCCCCCCTCCCCGAGTTTTTCTCTCCCCCCCCCGTGGCGGCTCTAAGGGTCGAGGAAGGAGACGGCGATGTAGCGAGTCCCTTTGGTGGTGGGGAGGCCCTCGTGGTAATGGGTCAGGCGGCCCGGGTGCAGGAGGGTCCAGCCCTTCCGGGGGGCTTGGATGGAGCAGTTGTAGCGGATGAAGCGGCAGCCCCCGCCCTGCAAGGGAAGAGAAGCAGAGGGGGGCTATGTTGAGCCTCCTGCCTGCCAGGGGATCCAGCTGCCACATTGCAAAAGGCACTCGGCAGACGTCTCAACCAAGCCTCGGCTCAGTGCTGGAATTCTGCAGTGGTACCCTCTGTGATAAACTTTTCTTTCTTTTTCTTTCTTTCTTTCTTTCTTTCTTTCTTTCTTTCTTTCTTTTTCTTTCTTTCTTTCTTTCTTTCTTTCTCTTTCTTTCCTTTCTTTTTCTTTCTTTCTTTCCTTTCTTTCTCACATTCTCACACTCCCTTCCTCTCTCCCTCCCTCCTTTCCTTCCTCCCTCCCTCCCTCCATGGTAAACTTTCTCTTCTTCCTTCCTTCGTTCCTTCCTCCCTCTGTGATAAACTTTTCTTCTTTCCTTCCTTCCTTCCCTCCCTCCCATCTCCTTCCTTCCTTCCTGTCTCCCCTCCCTCCCTTCCTGTCCCCTCCCTCCTTCCTTTCCTTCCTTCCTTCCTCCCTCCATGATAAACTTTCTCTACTTCCTTTGTTCCTCCCTCCCTCCCATCTTCTTCCTTCCTTCCTGTCTCCCCTCCCTCCCTTCCTCTCTCCCTCCCTCCTTCCTTTCCTTCCTTCCTCCCTCCCTGTGATAAACTTTCCTTCCTTCCTTCCTTCCTTCCTTCCTTCCTTCTTTCCTTCCTTCTCCCTTTCTCATCTCCTCCCTCCCTCCCCCCCTGTCCAGCTTCAGCTTCCGTTTTGGCTTAATATTCCCCACTGCCTTCTAACCCTTAGCCAAAATCAAATATTCCTTCCTCCCCCCAGTTCTGGCCTTGGCCCTCTGGGCACAGCGATAAACATCCCCCCCCCCCGATTATTTCACCCTCTTCTCTCTCCCCATCTCCTGGCTGCAGGGACTCGGCCATTTGGCTCTCCCTTTAAGGCGGCCCAAAGGTCTCAGGCTCACTTCGTAATCGATCCCAACACGGTTCAAGGCAATGTTGATGGTGAACGTGGAAGCGTCGTGATGCGGCATCAGGGAAGGCTGCTCGTCCGGCTTGTAGCGGACGACAAAGGCCAGCTCAAACTGGGTCTGCAGAGAAGGAAAGAATCGGGCTGGGCCGGACAATGGCTTGTGCAACCTTTGGCAGGCCGTCCTCAGTTACAAGCGAGTGGAGAAAGAGAAATGCTTAGCGACGGCTGCTTTTGGGGTGTGCGTGGCCTCGTATTTTCTTCTTTTTCTCGGCCTGCCCCAAAAGTCCTTCATTTTGGGGGGGGAGGGCCACCAGTTCAAATTCTCCCGCGAGTGAGGACAATTAACCAGTGGAACAGCTTGCCACTAGAAGTTGTGGGTGCTCCATCACTGGACGTTTTTAAGAAGAGACTAGTCTGAAATGTAGAGGGTCTTCTGTTTGAATAGGGGGTTGGACGAGAAGGCCTTCAAGGTCCCTTCCAACTCTATTCTGATTGGTTAATCAAGGAGAGAAGAAGCCTGGAATTAAGGAGAACCTTCCTAACGGTGAGAACAATTAACCGGTGGAACAGCTTGCCACCAGAAGTTATGGATGCTTCATCCTGGGAGGTTTTAAAGAAGAGAGTGGACAGCCACCTGTCTGAAATAGCACAGGGTCTCCTGCTTGAGCAGGGGGGTGGACTAGATGACCTACAAGGTCCCTTCCAGCTCTATTCTGATTGATTGATTGGCTGAGTTTCCAATCCCAGCACCTATCAAGTGAACTCACTTGGGTGTGGTAGCCAGGGTAGAGCTTCTCCGTGATGGGCGCTATGTAATCCAGGAGAAATCTGTACCACTCGCGCTCAAAGTTGACCTGGTTCATGTGGATGTCAATGGTCGGGACGTTCTCGTAGCCCCCTAGAATCCTCTGGTCCTTTAAAAACAGCGGGTAAAGTTAGCCGGTAGCTGCTCGCAAAAAATGTTAGAACCGGTCGCTTGCCTGGCCAACTTGGCCAAGGAAGCGACCCCAGTGGGAAGGAAGGAAGGAAGGAAGGAAGGAAGGAAGGAAGGAAGGAAGGAAGGAAGGAAGGAAGGATCGATCCGGCCCCTCCTCGGATGAGCCGCCTCTTACCTTGTTGCCTCCCTTGGACCACTGCCCAAAGTGCTCCATCTCCTCCACCAGCTCGTCGCAAGCCACGTCGGTGAACAGGGGGAACCAGTAGACATCCGGGCAGGGCTGGACGAGGGGAGGACAAGGGGTGAAGTCCTGGGGTCTGTTGCCCCCGCCCTGGGGCAGTCTGTAGCTTTCATTATTTTATTTTATTTCACTTCACTTTTCATTTTATTTCATTTTTATTTATTTTATTTTCATTTTATTTTATTTCACTTCACTTTTCATTTCATTTTATTTCATTTTAATTTTATTTCACTTCACTACTTTTTATTTTATTTTTCTTTTACTTTGCTTTTCATTTTATTTATTTTTATTTTATTTTATTTCACTTCACTTCATTTTTTATTTTATTTTTTCACGTTTTATTTTTTTAATTTAATTTAATTTTACTTCACTTTTATTTTGTTTTACTTATTTTATTTTATTTTACTTCACTTTTCATTTCATTTTATTTATTTTATTTCACTTCACTTTTTATTTTATTTTATTTTATTTTATTTTATTCTATTCTATTCTTATTTATTTTATTTTATTTTATTTTATTTTTATTCTATTCTATTCTTATTTATTTATCTTATTTATCTCTCCTGGAAACTAATCAAGGAGAGAAGCAACCTAGAACTAAGGAGAAACTTCCTGACAGTTAGAACAATTAACCAGTGGAACAACCTGCCTCCAGAAGCGGTGAATGCTCCAACACTGGAAGTTTTTAAGAAGAGACTGGACAGCCATTTGTCTGAAATGGTATAGGGTTTCCTGAATGAGCAGGGGGTTGGACTAGATGACCTCCAAGGTCCCTTCCAACATCATCATCATCATCATCATCATCACCATTATTATTATTATTATTATTATTATTATTATTATTATTATTATTATTATTATTATTATTATTATTATTATTATTATTATTATTATTTAAATTAAATTAAATTAAATTAAATTAAATTAAATTAAATTAAATTAAATTAAATTAAATTAAATTTTTATTTATATACCCGCCATCCCAGTAAACAATTATGGGCAACTCAGAATCTAAAGCATAACATTACAATTAAAATTCTAAAAATATTTTAAAACAATAAAGAAAAAAATTAAACATCCCATTCCAGTACAGGCAGTCCTCCCCTTATGACCTCAACTGAGCCCAAAATTTCTGTTCCTAAGCGAGATAGTTGTGGGTTTTGCCCCATTTTAGGACCTTTCTGGCCACCGTTGTTAAGTGAATCACTGCAGTTGTTAAGTTAGCCACACGGTTAAGTGTGTCTAGGCCTCCCCATGGACTTTGCTCGTCAGAGGGTTGAAAAAAGGGGATCCCGCAACTCCGGGATTCGGCAACCGTCATAAATATGTATCAGCTGCCGAGCATCCGACTTTTGATCACGTGACCGTGGGGATGCTGCAACGGTCGTTAAGTGTGAAAAACAGTCGTCAGTCACTTGTGTAACTTTGAACGGCCACTGAGCGAAGTGTTGCAACTGCTGGACTCTCCTCCTTTCTGCCGCATCCCAATTCTACTTTGCAATAAAGACAAACCATTTACCGTTTCTACCAATTTGCCCTTTAAGGCGTCCGTGTAGTTGGGGTGGATGTATTTCTCATTCCAGTCCTGTTTTGGGAGAGAGGAAAAATAAGTGAAAATGGGTCGGTTTGCCATTCTTTCTCCTTAAAGGTCTCTTAGCGAGGAGGATGGCCTCTCTTGAAAAGCCCCCTCCCCTTTCTCAAACTTTCCGGGGCTGGGTTCAAACGAGGAAGTCATAAAGGCACCATTTGTGCCTTCGGAAAGCCCGCCCAGTTCTCACGTTTCCCAGCTGCTCTCTGCTCCAATTCATCCTGGCCCCTCCCTGTCGAAAACCTGCTTTTGGAGACTGCAGGCCCCAACCTCTGTAATTCCTGGTTCTTCAGCCTCTGCCCCCCCCCCTCTTTCTGCGTGAGCCCTTGTTCCCAAATTCTCTTCCCCCCCCAGGACGGCTCTTCTTTTTTACAATCCTTTTTAACTGGCCCCTACTTCACCCCACACCTGCCTCCCTCTCAGGTTGCAGAGAAAGAGACCATTGGACAGCCATTTGTCTGAAATGGTATATAGCAGTGATGGTGAACCTTTTAGAGACCGAGTGCCCAAACCGCAACCCAAAACCCACTTATGTATCGCCAGGTGCCGGGTAGACGTGGCCCTTTGGATGGGTGTGGCCCATTGGGTGGGTATGACCAATTGGGTGGGCGTGGCCCATTGGGTGGGTGTGGCTTCGATCCTAACGACAGACTGGGTGGGACTAAAAAGTTCAATCAATCAATTCCAACTTTGCAAGATCTTTTTTTTTCCCCCGAGAAGTTGAAATTGACTGATTGATTGAATCTTTTTTTTTTTTGCACACGGCGGTGGAGGCCTAAAGCGAAAAGGTTTTATAAAACCCAGCTGAAGGCCTAGGACTGGGGCGATGGTGCGTGTGCCCATAGAGGGGGCTCTGCGTGCCACCTGTGGCACACGTGCCATAGGTTCGCCACTACGGGTATATAGGGTTTTCTGCCTGAGCAGGGAGTTGGACTAGATGAGCTCCAAGGTCCCTTCCAACTCTTCTTTTCTCTTCTCTATTCAATTCCATTCCATTCCATTCCAATCTCTCTTTATTCTATTCTATTTTCTATTCTATTCTATTCTATTCTATTCTATTCTATTCTATTCTGTTTTTATTCTATATTCAATTCCATTCCATTCCCTCTTTATTCTATTCTATTCTGTTCTGTTCTATTCTATATTCAATTCAATTCAATTCCATTCAAAATCTTTCTTTATTCTATTCTATTCTATTCTATTCTATTCTATTCTTATTCCTATCCAATCCTACTCTACTCTATTCTATTCTATTCTATTCTATTCTATTCTATTCTATTCTATTCTATTCCATTCCATTCCATTCCATATTCTATTCTATTCTATTCTATTCTATTCCATATTCTATTCTATTCTATTCTATTCTGTTTTTATTCTATATTCAATTCCATTCCATTCCCTCTTTATTCTATTCTATTCTGTTCTGTTCTATTCTATATTCAATTCAATTCAATTCCATTCAAAATCTTTCTTTATTCTATTCTATTCTATTCTATTCTATTCTATTCTATTCTATTCTATTCTATTCTATTCTATTCTATTCTATTCTATTCTATTCTTATTCCTATCCAATCCTACTCTATTCTATTCTATTCTATTCTATTCTATTCTATTCTATTCTATTCTATTCTATTCTATTCTATTCTATTCCATTCCAATCTCTCTTCACTGTAGTCTATTCTATTCTGTTCCGTTCCATTCCATTGTATTCTCTGAATACCTAAAAGCTATTATAGAAAGCCTTCTCACCTCCGGGTTGCTGAAGATTTGCCAGAGATCGTTGTGCAGGTGACTTGTCTGATAATTCTCCAAGGACAGGATGTGCCCAAACGGCTGCTGGTTTGTCACAAACATGAACACCCCCTGCAGAAAAAAGCGAAGCCCTTCTATTGCATGGATCTACTGAAAGATGGGAAATCTCTGCCCCCCCCAACCACTCTTACGAGACTATAACTCCCAATAACCCTGATGCTTCGTTTTATTTGCAGTCTTCTTCCACTTTCTTTGTCTTCTTCTGCACCTTGTATAATATAACCCTGACGGTTAGTTAGGACTGCAAAGAAAAAACCATCACAAACAGCCTGCCTTACACTGCGGATCTGTACATCGCACAAGCCAGGGAGAGGGCCGAGAAAATAATTACACGCTCCTCACATCCTGGACGTAATCTGTTTCAACTTCTCCCTTCAGGACGCCGCTATAGGGCAATTGCATGCCAAAACAGCCAGACATAAAGATGTCTGTGGATGATTCTCACTCATCCAGGTCATAGTTGTTCCAAAAATGCTTTTACATTGGAGAATAAACCTGTAGGGACAACATTCAGCAGTCCATCTGCATTTAAAAGAACAAGGCCACCGTTTTGAAGATGGCAAGGTCCACATTTTGGACAGAGAGGAGCAAATGGTTTGAAAGAGGGGTCAAAGAGGCCATCTAGGTCAAAACTGAACAGCCCTCTCTCATCGGAGGGAGAGCGATACGACATCATCTCTCTCCAGTCTGCAACACAGTTCTGTCAACAATTCCAAGAAGGCTCCACACCCATTTGCACCACTCAGTGACCCTGACAACACAGATAATCCTCCAAGTGGCCTCAATGACTCTCTACAAGGATGCAAATGACCGGCTGTCTGCAAGGAGTATAAACCCTTCCATTCCCCATCGTCCAGTCAGAGCTGAAGAAGCTTCTCGGATGAGAAGCGAAACGTCTTCAAAGGAAAAACAAGGAAGTCCAGTCGCCTCTTGAAAAAGTATCTTTGGGACAGACATAAAGATAGTTTTTTCCCCTCATGCCATCACTCTGCTGAACACTTACCGGTAATTCCCACAGCATTGGCTCATTTATCATCCTTTCTCATCTTTCCTACTAACTTCTTCTATTGGTTTCTTATGATTCAATAATGGCTGTTTGTAATTTAGGATTAATGACTGTAGCTATGACTATGACTTATTATTATTATTATTATTATTATTATTATTATTATTATTATTATTTAAATTCACTCAGGGCGGTGAACAGGCAATAATAAAAATCACAGTAAATATTACATAAAAGCCTGCTCTAAAATATAAAACCCCTAACAAAACCCAATCAAAACTACTCCAGGCCGGCTACATGGAACAGATGAGTTTTCAGGGCTTGGCGAAAAAGGCGCAGGTCCGCAACTGTACGTAGGTCGGGGGGGTAGGTCATTCCAGAGGGCAGGAGCTGCCACGGAGAAGGCTCTCCCCCTGGGGGTCGCCTGCCGGCATTGACTGGCCGACGGCACCCTAAGGAGGCCCTCTCTGTGGGAGCGGACTGGTCGAAGGGAGGTGTTTGGTAGGAGGCGGTCTTGCAGATACCTAGGTCCATTGCCACGGAGCGCTTTAAAAGTTGTTACTAACACCTTGAAGTGCACCCGGAAGGCCACCGGCAGCCAGTGCAGCTCGCGCAGGAGTGGTGTTACATGGGAGCATCTAGAGGCCCCCAAAATCCCCCGCGCAGCCGCATTCTGGACTAGCTGGAGCCTCCAGGTGCACCTCAAGGGGAGCCCCATGTAGAGAGCATTGCAATAGTCCAGGTGGGAAACAACGAGGGCTTGAGTGACCCTGCGTAGGGCGTCCCGATCCAGAAAGGGGCGCAACTGGCGTATCAGGCGAGCCTATGACCTGCTGTTTATATGTACACCGTGAGCTGATGCACCGGAGACAAATGCCTCGTGTGTCCGATCACACTGGGCCAATAGAGAATTCAAGTCAATTCTGCAGAGGCAGAGCTTCTGGCTTCCCCCACCAACCAACCTGCTGACGGATGTTGTGGCACAGAGCCATATCGGCATCCAGTTTGCCACTGTGGAAAAGGTCCCGCTGGGCTAGTTGTGACCTTAGGACGCTGCCCTTGACCAGGTAGACGCTGGAAATGTATGGGACGTTCCAGAGGCCACTGAGACAGACAGACAGACAGACAGACAGACAGAGAGAGGGGTGGGGAGAGAGGGAGAGTCAAATAGGCATAAAAAGAACCGGGCCCGATAATAAAGAATGAAGCAAACTGAAAAACAAATTATTTTTGATTTTTGTCACAGAGGCTTATTTTCAACAGGGAACCAGTAAAAGCCTGCACAAAATGCCTCTTGATGCACAAGGCTTGGTGTTGTGTTAACTAACCTGATGGTGCGTCAGTGTCCGAGTCAAAGCCCCTTGGAACTGAACACAAAGAAAGCACCTTCTGAACCCCCTCGCTCTCTTCAGCCATGAGACTCACAGCCCCCCAGAGAAGAGCGCTTTCAAGGGGAATTTGGGGAGCCTTCTCTACTCACATCCTCTGCCTCTGGACAATGTCCTTGTAATCCTCTGAGCGGGCGTAATAGCCGTCAGGACTCAAGGCCCCCCAGAAATTCGACCACAGCTTCCCCATGCGGCTCACGAGAGGAGCAATCACAAACCTGGCAGAGAGAGAGAGGGGGGAGGGAGGGAGGGAGGGAGAGAGAGATGGAGAGAGGGAGAGGGAGGGAGAGGGGGAGAAAGAGAGAGACATGGAGAGAGGGAGAGAGAAGAAGAGACAGGGAGGGAGAGAGAGGGAGAGGGGGAGAGATGGAGAGAGAGAGGGAGAGGGGGAGAGAGGAAGAAAGAGAGGAAGAGAGGGAGAGGGGGAGAGAGAGGGAGAGAGGAAGAAAAAGGAAGAGAGGGGAGAAAGAGAGAGAGGGAGAGAGGAAGAGAGAGAGAGAGGAAGAGACAGAGAGAAGAGAGAGGAAGAGAGAGGAAGAGAGAGAGAGAGAAAAAGAGGAAGAGAGGGAGAGAGGAAGAGAGAGAGAGAAGGCATTAAAAACACTTTCAAGAAGAAGAAGAAGAAGGAGGAGGAGGCGTGTTCATTTTTGGACGATATAGTTGTAGGAATGAGTGAGGCTATTTGTCCACTCCATCCTTAAAAAGACTCCAGATAGCCAAGGTAATTCATACTCTCTCTACAGGTAGCCCTCGACTTATGACCATAATTGAGCCCAAAATTTCTGTTGTTGAGACGTTTGTTAAGTGAATTTTGCCCCATTTTACGACCTTTCTTGCCATACTTGTTAAGTGAATCGCTGCAGTTGTTAAGTTAGCCACACGGTTGTTAAGTGAATCTGGCTTCTCCCATTGACTTTGCTTGTCAGAGGGTGGCAAAAGGGGGTCACAAGAGTCCAGGACACAGCAACCGTCATAAACATGAGCCAGTTGCCAAGCAACTGAATTTTGATCATGTGATCATGGCAGGCACAGCAAAGGCTGTAATTGTGAAAAATGGTCATAAGTCACTTTTTTCAGTGCCGTTGTAACTTTGAATGGTCACTAAAGTGAACAGTCGAGGACTGCCTGTATAAAAATATCCTTAGGGATTCAACCTCAAAATCCAACAATAATTAAAGTTCCAGAGCAGGTGCGGACAATAGAATCTGTTTTGATCTAGCAGATCCCTCTATGATGTATAGAAAGGAACAGCTGGGTCTTCCTGACACTTAGAACAATTAACCGGTGGAACAACCTGCCTCCAGAAGCGGTGAATGCTCCAACACTGGACGTTTTTAAGAAGAGACTGGACAGCCATTTGTCTGAAATGGTATTGGGTTTCCTGCCTGAACAGGAGGTAGAACTAGATGACCTTCATCTCTTCCAACTCTGTCAATTCTATTCTATTCTATTCTATTCTATTCTATTCTATTCTATTCTATTCTATTCCATTCCATTCCATTCCATTCCATTCCATTCCATTCCATTCCATTCTATCCCATTCTTTATCCCTTCAATTTTATTCTATCTCTATCTCTATCTCTATCTCTATCTCTATCCTATTCTACCCTACTCTACTCTACCCCATTCCCTTTGGCCTGCCAGTCCCAGGAGGGCAACCTACAGCGCAAAACCCAACTCACTTATTCTGTTCCATCAGGATCTGCAGGGTATCGGGGTTCTTGAGCACCACCTCGGCATCAAGACTGAAGTAATATTCACACGCCGGGTTCTGCTTGCACATATTCCTGGAAGGGGAGGAAGCAGACGAGTCAGGTCCCAGCCGCAGGGGAAAGGAACCGAGTTGGGGGGGACCTCTCCGCGTTTCTTACATGCTCACGTTGCGAGCATCGGCGTTCTCCAGATTCTCCTCCGGCCCCATCACTTTGAGGGAGCGATATTCCTGGCCGTGCTCGTCCACAAAGGAGCTCACCTGGGACAGGTGATGTTTCTCCTGCGCGCGACAAGAAGCAGAGGGAGAGGTTACCGACGGGGCCAGTCATTCTGGCAAGTTGCCTCATTCACTGTCATCGATCCGCCCCCGGACTCCTCTCCGGATGGCAGTTCAGAGGAGGGCGAGTCTGAGTCTGCAAAGTGTGGAGTTGAGTGTTGCTCAGGATTGGGGCTCGGAGAGTGCCAGCCTGATGGAGCCCCCTCAGCTGGGTCGATTGGAGGAGCGACAGGCTAAAGCTGAAGGAGGTGAGCTGCAGCAAGTTGGTCCAGAGGCTCCAGGCAGGGACCGGGAGCAGCTGCCATCCGTTAGCAACGAGGAGGAGGTGGAATCCACACCTCCTCCTGATCCAAGGACATGTAGAGCAGAGAGGAGACAGGCAGAATGTGGGTCAGCTCGACTATTCGTGAGGAGGCAACTTTGCCTCTCATGAAGGGCTGCACCGGCATCGCCTACTTAACCCCGCCCTGAGGACTTGAGTGTTCTTGGAGCAACGTGCCCAGTCTGGTGCCTTGTGTTGTGTATCCTGGTCTGTTCAATTCCTGGACTTTGTGTGTGCCCATTGGTTCCCCAGGGACTCTTGCTCTGCTAAGCTTGGAATCTGGATCTGTGTGATGGGGAGGGTTGAATAAATACCTACATGTGTTTGTGTGCGTGGGAGGGAGAGCGTAGCAGCACATTCACCGTTTGCCCTTGTGGGTTATGAATGGGGGGGGCAATCTGCCGGGAGGAGGGGGGCTGAGTGAGGGGGGGCTGCCTTCTCAGCCAG